ATACGACGCAGACTGCAGCCATCGGTGTATGGCACTTGATCCAAGGCTTCCTCACCACATTTCCTCAGTACCAGCCTCAGCCCAATAGTTCAATAGCTGTCAATCTCTTTGCCGAGAGCTACGGCGGAAGATACGGGCCAATATTTGCAGAGCAATGGGAGATGCAAAATCAGAAGCGAACTAACGGGCAGTTGGATGCCAATTCGACGCTAGAGGTCCGTCTTAGTTCTCTGGGTATTGTGAATGGCTGCATTGATCAGGAGGTTCAAGTCCCCTTCTATCCCATCTTTGCCAACGACAACACATACAAATACAAGGCTTTGTCGGACGAGGCAGCGGCGTATTATGGTCGCAGATTCAGTGCTCCAGGTGGCTGTAAAGACAAGGTTCAACAATGCGCGGCCGTGGCCATGGCCCAGGATCCAGCTGGGCAGGGAAACCAGCCCGAAGCGAATCGATTATGCGATGCCGCAAATACAGCATGCTTTGCTCTCCAGGAACCATATAGCAACAGTGGCCGCAGCGTGTACGATCTTGCTGCCCCTTCTCGGGATCCTTATCCGCCTTTGCGATTTCTCGACTACGTCAACCAGGGCCATATACTCCAAGCCATTGGCTCTCCCATCAACTACACCATGACAAGCAATGCAGTGTTCCAGGCATTCCAGGACACCGGCGACTTGGCAAGAGGCGGTAACATTAAACGGTTGGCGGATCTCTTAAACCAAGGTGTCCGTATTGGCCTCATGTACGGCGACCGAGACTACATTTGCAACTGGCTCGGCGGACAAGCTGTGTCTCTCGCTGTTGCAAACCAAACCGGATCTAATTATGCCACGGGGTTCCCTGCGGCTGGTTACGCTCCTATTATTGTCAACGACTCGTACATCGGCGGCCTTGTTCGTCAGTACGGCAACTTATCATTTAGTCGCATTTATCAAGCCGGACACTCCGTAGCATGGTATCAACCCGAGACAGCATTCCAAGTATTTGCACGCATTATGATGGGTACATCAGTATCTACCGGGGAGACCATCTCCCTCTCCTCTTTCAACACCACGGGACCCAACGTAGCTTCTCATGATGAAAAGCTGCCGGCAATGCCGTCGACAACATGTTACATCCGTGCATTTTCAAGTACATGCGACTACGATGCCCAAGATCTCGCTTTCGGAGGCAACGGTACAGTCATCAACGGCATTCTGTACAGCAAATCAGCCGACTGGCCATTGGCCACCACTCAACCTCCATCGTCTACATCCGGGCAACCGACCAGTACAACCATGCCTTTGACAGGTGTGTTTACGGCTACGAAAGTGCCAGATAGTGGAAGCGCAGCTCGTTTATTGGCCTCTGGCATGCTTTGGATTATGATTTCAAGCTTCTGGGTTATACAAGGCGTACAAATTCTCTTTTGAACACTTCACGGACGTTGGATTATAATACATTTGTTTCGATAGTAAACTAGAGTAATGGACAGGGATTGGCTTGTTTTATTTAACCTGCGATACAGATGACATGGCATATTGGGTAATTTTAGCGCGCAGGGTCTTCCGAAAAGCAGATAAGGTACATTGGAAGAGTATCATGGGATTGTCTAGATGTGTAGAGAAGTATCCTCACTCGCGTAATATAACGTCATATAAGACACAGATACTACTCATGTGAGCCAAGGCGACCGCCCAACCTTTCACTGTTATCCCGCAGGGTTGCAATTCGTTACCTAGCATTCATACAAAGAGCCAAATCATCTCAACTGGGTATCATTCCTCGTCATCATCTATTTTATGTAGACAAGCGGTTTCATGTCCTCTCCTTCTTGGGTATTCTCCCAGGCACCCTTCTTTCCTCTCCAAGCACCAGGGAGGCATCCGCGCCAGCAGCATCCTCGTCGTCGTCGACGTCCATATCATCGCGCGTTCGCTGAGTCTGCTTGACGCGCTGGATACGCCGCAGAATAGCTTCGTCAAGATAGAATTCCTGCTGAAATCTGGACTTGGAAAATTTCTGAGCCAAGAGTTAGTGGTATACTCCTATTTTTTTCTTTTTGGAAACAGGAACAAGGACCGGGAGAAAGAAGAGAAAATGAAAGGACGGGTTTGGCCATGCTTACCTGAGAACATCCCGTCTGCGGACACTGAACTTCCCCTCGTGCAGGCAAGTAGCCCAAAATACCCGACTTCTCAAATGTATGCTTGCACTTGACGTTGCTGTACGGCTCCTCCATTTGTCGCAGGGTGAGCGGACAGTTCAGACTGAGCACCTCCCTCGCAACGGCGATATCGTCGTCATCGCCAGCTGGACCGATTGCGCTACGGCGAGTGGTTGCCCCTGGACGAGTCATGACGGGCCTTCCATCGGAGCGGAACCACCGCGAAGCATCGGGCAGAGGGGGTCCGTCTTCGCCGGATGCAGCATCGTGCCAGATCTTTTTGAAGCCGGCGTAGTCGTTGTTGACGCCGTATCGTTGATAGGGTGTGAGCTGTTCGTATTCGGCTTGTTTGGTGGCTCGGCCTTTGCGGAAGGCTTCGAGGGTGCTGGCGACGGGTTCTTCGCCTTGTTGCTGTTCTGGGTCTTGCTCTTCGTCGCGTGCTGGCTCTTGTTTTACGCCCCTGCGCGCGCGGATCTCTGCAGTGTTGGGAGCTATGGCCGTCGCGGCAGTGGTATACAAATCTCCCAAGAGAGCGGATTGGTCCTCTATCTCGGCTCGGCGGTCGATTACATCCCGTATTGATTGCTCGGATTCGTGGGTAAGCTCGTCAACCTCCCTTTCCAGCTCGACAAGGTGTACCTCTAGGCGTTCTTCCTCCGGCGTCTTGTTTGTGCCCTTTTGTTTCCGTCGCTCCTGCAGCAGCTGCAGCCGGTCTTGTTGCGCTCGTAGCCGTTCATGGAGGTCGCCAACGCTGAGGCCAAGGTGGCGCGCCGAGTCTTTCAAGTGAGATTCGTAATGCTGAGTGCCGCGATTGTCCGATAGCTCACCCAGTGCACGTCGGGCATGGTCGTTGAGCGGGCATGAGGGCGGTTGGTACCGGGGTAGCGATGTAGACGAACTGGTTCTGGCAGGGGAGGAGTCTACGCCAGACGGGCGGCTGCGGTTAAGCAGTCGCGGCATGGCAGATTTGATATTGAAGATCAACTGTTCCAGAGGCGTTCTTGTGTCGGGGCGAAGGTATTTCTGATTCACCGTGATTTCGATAGAAAGCGATTGCCACTGTGCCACCATGAACGTTGGTGTGCATTGAAGGAAGAACGCGACAGAACGCGTGGGCCGGAGCTCGGATGGTGGGCACCCGAATCATTGATGCCACCCCGCCACCCGAGGCAGGCACAACCAGAATGTAGGGATGCGCTAGAGGCTCCTTCCGCTCCCCCCATTTGGCCATTTGGCCGTGACACAACATTGAACGAATTTGACACGTTCGTTTCCTCAACAAAGTATGGAGTACTCCGCACCACACGCTGAGAATCATCAAGAAGCTCATGGCAAAGTCCATTTGCCATGCTGGGCCGTTCCCTTGCATCGGGTCCAATCATCGTCATGTCTCATCCGTCTGCATCCCGATTGAAACATCAACAGACAAACACGGCTTTCCAGTGCATACGTCATGCACAATGGCCCTTAGCATGGCTGCTGCTCTAAAATATCCCCTCAAGCTGTTCTTACAATACACTGGGCTTGCATTCACCGTCAGCCAGTACGGAGCACTGTTCGCAAAACCATGACCACCGTCATGACGGAGCATTCGGCGGCTTGCCCTATGGTCTACAACCGTAGGATCGGTCTCAAAGTCCGCGTGGCCCATCTATGGTTTATTCATACTCTTGTCTGACGACAGAGTGGAGACGTGCACGATGCAATATCGAAATCTCGGAAAACCGCATCATCCGCCCTTCGATGGCGCCGCATCAAAGAAATTAGCACAGATCGTGAGACCAGGTCACGGCACACTACAAGCTGCACATGCGGATCGAGACCTGCGGCCTCTCATCACGTCTTCTTGTGCTGACAACCCAATGATGCAGGTGCGAAAGCTCGACCCGTTCCCGTACAACGGGCAAAGCATGTCGACTGGCTTCAGCTCCGGATGGTACGACAGACCAACATGATCGAGCAGAAGGATGGAATCAGGCCGAGAGACATTGCTGGCATCGGCCACGTATCGAGCCAACGCCCTGCGCAATCGGCGAACTGCAGTTGCTGCCATGTTCCCTCCCCCGATCCACACTGATTGCTCGCCACCATGATTTGTGATTCGGTAGTTGCTTAACTGCATTCGCTTGCAACTTGGTTAGATCGCCCTGCGATTCGTTTTTCGGCCCAAGTCTCAGATGTGGACCAGCAATTGGTGCCAGCTACTACCAATTTGGCAATGCCCACTCCCGCTTCTCGATCGTCATGTTTCTCCGTAGCCCACGAAGATCTGGCATCGTGTATTACCCATCACAATTCCATGCCGTCGAGAAGAATGCCCAAGCCTAACCCAACGCCGCCTTAGATAGGCGAATTAGCAATGTCTCTCCCCAACATGTCCCCGTTTCTGGCACTGTTGTGGTTGCGTAACGCATTGACTATACTCCGTGGTTCAATTCCTGTGTCAGCTGCCGCGATACACACCGGGCCTGCCGTCATTCTGGATCGGACACCAAGGAGGTTTCCGCACTTGAATCTAGTATTCTTCCCCATCCGTCGACCGCCTTGCCAAGCCTGAGGTCATTCCACTTGACTTGACAAGCTTGGGTTTCACCTACGGACCAAGCCCTCCGCGAGTTCGTGGTGGATCCTCGCTCGACGTTGTGAGATGTAACACAGCCCCGACCTCTGTCATCACTTGGACAAGTCGGCACATGGCTCTAAGACGGTCTCAAGAGGCTATATTTGCGTTCCAGTGAGTATTAGCCTTAGTATTAAACTAGTGCCTCTGTCACCCCGGGCTCCCAATTTGAATTGCTCGATGTTGCTTCTCTTTCACAACCCTTCTGCAACTTCACATCATTCCAAGATGGCCTCACATGTCGACCTCGTCATGAATCCCTGGGAAGCCAAAGCTCTCGATGTAAATAACAAACCCTCATCTTCCCTGTGGCTGGCAGCGTTGATGCTCTACGATGCTTGTTGCCGAGTGCATAATTAGTTTGCTAACAATGATTTCGTCATAGTACCATTATCCAGCCGAAACATTGCCTTCTGCTACAGGGAGGCCATCCAGTGTTTCTAGAGGCCCATGGCAGGCCATGTCAAATTCCGTTTTCTATCCCGGCCTGTATTCAGCAACGGGCTTCGATATCATGGGCATATTGGTAGGATTCTTCTCGAAGATTTCGTGACCAAGTCGTTACTGACCCAGCCTTAGATGAGTCTAAGGGCCCGACCGAACCCACAAGTTGAAATTGGGAAGCTCGACTGCTCCGTGGCTCTCGTGCTCTGTAACCTTGAAGAGCCTGACGACCCTATAGTGTACGCATCGGATGCATTCTGTGCCCTCACCGGCTATTCACAAGCAGAGGTCATCGGCAAAAATTGCCGATTCCTCCAACAGCCACACCCTAGCTCATGGGACATGTCTAAGAGCAAGCCCAAGCACGACAAGCACGCAGCCTCAAAAATGCGGCACGCACTTCAAGCCGAACAGGAGATCCAGCTACGCGTTATAAACTATCGAAAAGATGGTCGCCGATTCATCAATCGCGTCAGTATTGTACCGGTGACATTAAATGGTTCTGGCTACCGCTATGCTGTTGGGTTACTGAACGATGATTCATAGCCCTAAGATGGATCACAGAAAGATCGCTGACTGGTTGACGTGGGCTCTGTAGAGCGGCCACGTCACAAAATCATCACAGCATCTTGCAAATAGACGCTGAGTCATTAGCCAACAGCATGCATTGATGGTGTTCCAATTGCTAGATTGGAACTGAGCGGAACTTCCTGTTTTCTCCCTTGTCGTATTTGGCGGCCGATATGAAATGGGGCGGGATAGGGCGCCAACCGACTGTTGCACAATCCCTTATTTCAATTGCCATAACACGATAGTTGGAGAAAGGCTCGTAGTTTTCGTTTATCATGTGTGTAGCTGGGATTATAATCATTGTTTAAAGAATAGCGACGGAACATAGCGAAATAATGATGATAGATTACCTCTTATAAGCGATTTGATAAGCCTTTTCTTCTTCAACTTGCCCCTTGTGTTATTTTGACATACAAATCTAGCTTCCAAAGGCGGGCTAGCTTCGTAGTCGTAATAATTTAACTACGGGACAACAGTCTGTCAGGCTTTTCTCATGCATTTCTCAATGAGATATCGTATCTGCTTTCAGGGCATACCTCGACGAAATGGTCAACCTGGTAGAGCAAGAAGTTAGAGATACAGCGAACAGTCCAGATTCTTGTCGTAGTAAGCGAAAGGTGTCTAAGTATTGTCAAAGAGAAGTGATCCCATGCTCCTAGTGTATTATGAGGCATGATATACCATGAATAGCAATACATTTAATTCAATTCCGTAGTCGAGTCGAACGCCTTCTCCCTGAAGGGAAATCAGGCTCTGGCTTAACCACACCCTCTTCCTTCTTTACAATTCTAGTCTTTTGTTTCTTAGTGAACGGCTCGCCACCCTCAACTCCATCCTGTTCAAGCTTCTTTTTGCGAGGGTTCTTTGCAGGCAGCATCTCCTCGTCTGATTCATCTTTGATCGGTTGAGCTTTTGCTCCAGGTACAACTTGACCAGTCTTCTTCTGTACTTTTGGCGCATAGCAGCTCGTCCGGCCACCAACCGTAATAAACGCCAATTTCTCGCCATTGGGTAGTTTACTTGACGATCCCTTGCCTCCTTTCCCCCAGCGGTGATTGAACAGCCAATGTTCTGGGAACTGGTCCGAGTCTCCAAGCTTGTCTACCGCCGTCTGGCAAACATATCGAATGCTTTCGTATAGCTTCTTGATTTCAGCGTCGCTAAAGCTATCGCTGTACTGCTCCGGGTGAAGCTTAGCTTGGTAAAGAGTCTCGTCGGCCACCCAGTTGCCGATGCCACTGATCATGGCTTGGTCTAACAGGAGAGCTTTAACTGGGACATGACGGGCCTGCATCTTGCCACGCAAGTACTCTTCAGTGAATCTATCAGTATCAATGACCGGATCCGGTCCGTTCTCTTTAAGAGGAGTGTGCTTTCGGATATCCGCACCGGGGCAATCAACCAGGCGAACTCGACCAAATCGACGGGCGTCTGTGAAAGCTACCTCCACTTCTGGCTTGCCTTCTGTTTTGAGGTGGAACTTCCAGAATTTCGGTGGCCAAGTTGTAAGCTCGCTATCCTTCATCTTTTTGTAGTAATTTGTGTATGCTGTCTTTTCTCCTCTGATATGAACCCACCCTGTTCCAATTAGTCACAGAAGGTAAACGATGCCGGACATTACGCCTTACCCGTCATGCCAAAATGCATCACCAAGTGAGGCGGTTTATCCAATGTTATCCTACGCATCGTGAGTGTTCCATATCTCACATCGCTAGCCATGCTGGATTGACTTACCAGAAGTATTTCCCCTGATTACCAGCCGAGACGACCTACATAGGCCATTAGTGGCGAGTTGCTGGATTATTGAAAAGCATTAGTTTCTACCTGTTTTCCTCTTAATGCAGCTTCCACTTCAGCTCCAGTCGTTCCCACTTTGCCAAAAACATTGCTGTCATCAATCGCTGACGCGCTTGCAATCTTCCTGCCAACCAGATGGAGGCGAAGGAAGTGAACAATACGAGCAACTAAGGTCGTCGTCAATAATACTTTCTGCATAAGACGACACAGTTTACTAACCTTCTGCAATCTCAGGCATGATGAAAGATCAACAGCGGCAACATCTATAGCAACAATGAGGAGTGTGAAAATAATGGCTCTCGGAGCCAAAAAGTTGCCTCTTGAATTTACGCTCTGTAGAGAACCCCTGTTCTGTCACGGTCCTGACACGAAACCCCGTGATCTGCTTACGTTAGCCAAAGCTACCCACTCCACCGCCATCTCCACAATAAAGTCATTTTTGTTCGCGCAGCTTTTTTTTCTTCCCGACCTTTCTTTTATCTCTTCAACACATTCCGCACCCAGAGCAAATGGTAAGTTTGGCAAACCAGCTTGCACAACCCCTCGTGTTTACTTCCTGATGACAAACATAAACCGCAAACTAGAGTCTTTGACCATTTGGAATGAAAACTCAATTTTTTACACGTCAGTCTGACAGAAGCTATCTTACAGCTGTCAAGATTTCAACAAGCGCACAACTGACGGAGCGAGCATTGTTGCTAACATTCATCTATAGGTTCATCCGTCTCCAAGTGGATGTCGGGACCACGGGTAGACGGACTGTCGTCGCTTCTAATAATTGGTACGTTACATTGTGGTTGTGATATTTCGGTTCCTGATGATCAATTCGTTATAAATATACGCTGGAAATTACCGGCTGAGATCTTTCATTGAAGATATAAAATGGCTATTTCTGATTGTTCCATACAATGCTCTGTTTATGTTGCACAGATGGATGAGGCAATTGCTAACTTGCTTTAAGAACTTTAGACAAGGTATGCAAAATTATACGCACAACACACTGCATCAGCCTTCCATGATGAAGCGGCACTGGGCTCCGAAAAAAACTCATGAGCTAGAAAAGCCACTTTGCGGCAGGCCTAGAAAACCTCGCCCACTGACTCGGCACCTTCACACCTGCTTTTGTCTTGTCGGTCGAGTCAGACGGACTAATTCCTTTATAGTGTCTACTAGGTTACATGTCGTTGTTAGATGCTTCTGTTGAATTGAGCTTGAAGGTAAGCTACCAACACCACATCTACACATGACCTCCTTTTATGATGAAACAGATGACGAGTCTTATTCGAGTTTTCGATGCAGACACCATATTCTTTTTACCATTCATGCTTTCCTGATATACCTCGTATATTATTTACACGTTGCATTATAGTGGATGCTCATACTAACACATCAAAGTATCTTTAGTGGTCAGTATTGCCTCCAATCGCGCGTGCGGTGCATCTTCATCCTCAGCCTGATGAACGCGAATGAAAATGACAAGCATATGTCTGAGCTTCGGCTGCGACGACAAATCATCCGCATCTTTTTCTGACTGCTTTGATCTCTTCATCTTATAATACAATCTTGGGCGTAGAATGTTTTCGCTGACATGCAAAAGATGAGTGAGACTGAAGCTTTGACCACAAAGTAAGTTGTTATTGTTTGACTTCCATCCCTCTATTTATATGATGCTACAATATCACGACGGTCAACTTAGCCATATGCATTGATGACAACGCCTGTGACAAGGCACCTTCCACTGAAATCCTTCCAACTTGGCACTCATTTTGGTTCAAACACGGCCATGTAAACATGGGCTAACCGTTACTAGGAGTAATGAAGTAAACAGGGAACTTGCCTAAGTAGGCAGGCAACTTGAAGGCAGCGGAACCGCGCGAATAACGAATGATATGCAAGAAGGAATCTATCTAGTTTATGATAACGAATGCTTTATGAATCTACATCTCTGGCCCTCTCCCTTTGAGTGAATGTTTGTATGTCACATCCTTCAGACTCGGTACCCCCCCAAATGCACCAAACAAGTTGAACAAGTGTTGCTGGCAGAGTGCTCTTGGTTTTGAAATGCTTGTCAACTTATCCCGTCATCTACCCCAGCCTACCCTCGCCCGCCCCTCTGCTCGTGGGCTGCCACTTTCACGGACGACTAAGTATTCCTTCAGTCTCGGGACCTGTTGGACCTGGAACTGCGGAGGTGGCTTCTGCTCCAACGATGAGACCGAAGAATGCTCTCGGGTCGTGGTGACTGGTTGTCAGGCCAGAGGCCAACCTGCTGATAAGTGGCAGCAGTGGAAGTTGGCTCGTAGCCCGCAGACTGAACCTCGGACTCTGCCTGAGGAAGCGAGGCAAAGGTCCCCCCAGCCTGGTCAGTGGTGGTCGGGGGATAGTGCTCCTCTGCAATCTGAGACAAAAGCAGTTGAGATACATCAAACTGTGCGGTGTCAGACATATTCATTGCATAACCATACTGTCCCTGTCCGCCTTGATAAAGGTCACTATCAGGGGCATAAGTGGCCACTTCCATATATGGGTAAAGGTTGCCCGGTTCAGTGTACACAGAAGGAGATGCTGCTGCCACGTCAACCGATGCAGTCATCATGTCAGAGCTGCTCTCCCTATGCGAGTTGGTCGACACATATTCTCCGTCCGGCGTGATGGCGATCTGACGCCTGCGACTGTTCATTCGTTTGCCTACACCCCATTCGTCGAACTTTTTTTGATATGTTCGAGCACTATACACAGCCAAAATTCGACGGGTTAGCTTCTGATATATGCGCGATTGTCCAACATGCTCCCTCATACACAAGTACCCCCGTGATTTGAAACATGCCATCTCCATCTCAGCCCGGATGGTGTAGTGGTTCAAACGTACTTGGCCTTGAAGTGGTAGTTGTCATCCATCATCATCACCACTTCATCAAGTGTATGCCGCGCATACAGCCTAATGATGATGTCCTTGTACTGGTTCCATGGAAGCGGAATCATCGTGAACAGAAGCGCTGACAACTGGTGGCAATGACGGCAAGGATAATCTGGCAAAAGTGTCCAACGATGAGAGCAAAGTGGGAAAAGAAGAGCAAAAGACCTGTCTGTAGTTGGTCAAGTCTCCAAATCCAACCAGAAAGAGGAGGCCAAAGCAGAATTTATATCAAATCAGACCACCTGGCATCTGTACCCAAGGCTGCCATCCTCCTCCCTCACTCACCTCCCTCGTTGCCATGTTTTCCCTTCTCGCCATCTATCATCCATCGCCATTATCTCCGGTCTGCCACGGTAGGGCGGGAAAACGAGGCATAAGCCTGGCCGGCCGCGACCTGGCCGGCCGCCATAATGGGCCCCCTACTTCTGCACAGAGACACCATCGTGCTCATTCCGCACCCAGACCGACGTCCACCGAGTGATGCAGAGCGTCACATCAACGTCAATTTTCTCCAGACTCCAGCTTCCCATAGGCCATCCAAACACAGCCTCTTTCATACCGGTAGTTTCACAGTATTTTTTCTCTCAACTTCATCCCCCCCTTCTCAATTCGTCTCCAAATATCGGTGAAGAAGCAAAAGACACTCTGAGCGCAGTGATATGCGACAAAATGGCTTTTTTTTTTCGCACAACGCGCTTACCCCAATCACCTCCCCATCAGAAACCTCCGCACCCAACCAAGCACGAGGACAACTCGCGCAACACAAGTAGCAAAAAAGGCCAAGTAGCCATCAAGTGTTTCACGGGGAGTTTAAAAAAAAAAGAGGTACCGGTATCCATGTACCGTAAGCAAACGGAACCCCAGGTCAGCAACAGAAAACCCTCGCACTGTCAGGTAAACCCAAACGTCACAGACAAAAACGGTTCTATTAGCAAGCGCCCTTAAGGCGTTACGCAGCCCTGAATCGCCTCGTGGCAGTGACAGTGACGCCCTCAGCAAAGAACCGTCGTCAAGCTACCGCCGGCCCAATCGACATCAAAGGGCCACGGGACCGAGTTGAATCAGCAAAGGCCGGCAAACCAACACGCCCATTTTTCTCCTCCTTCCAAACAGTGGCAGTGACACACGGCTCACTGTCTTGTCGCCCGTGGTACCACCATACCTCGTGGCGCGACATTGTTGGCTGCTCCATACACCACACCTCTTACTGTTGCAGTCGCGGTTGCATGGCTCGGGTCGTTTTCGTCCGGTCTTGCTCTGCGCCAAAAGTACTCTGGTACATGGGGCTGAAAAGGAGAGAGAGAAACAGTGACAAAGACATCAAGCAGTTGCCCAAGTTCGACCTTGAGCCTGACAGGACCCCTTCGGCGCATACGTCACTTGTACGGAATAAGTATGCATCTTTGACATGTTGCCGATATTGCTCCAACCACCACGCAAACCAGCAGTTGACACAAGCATGTTTGAAAGCAGTTTGCATTATGTAAATTAAGTAGCGGTGTCGATGACGTGAAAACAGCCCAACTTCATAAGCGTGATAAGCGTACCATGGCGTACAGTTGTTTCTCATTCGTCCAGTCTCCCTCCAAATGCAACTATACGTACCCAAGCATCAAGTGCTGCGCCTTTACCTCTTGACCCTCCACCACACACACCAAGTACGTGGATGAGACAACATCCGCAATCCCACAACGGTTTCTTCTTTCCTTCTCAGCCTCACTATGCAACTGTTGGCTTCTTCTCGTCAGGAGGACTCGATACGGCCTCACCGCCAGTCACGCCAGCCTCTTGGGCCTTGTGGCCACCTTCTGCCAGAGCATCCGACTTGCTCTCCTCAGGCGAAGCCACGGCCGGGCTCGTTTCGACCTTGTCGTTGGCCTTCTCACCGGCTTTTCCCACGGATGGGGGGATGGTGGCCGGCGAGGCTGTGGCGGGTGATGACGGGGTAGGTGACGTTGGCTCAGCCGGGCCTGTGGCTCCGCATACTTGCTGGATGACATGGAACCATTTCTGGGCGTCGGCGGCTGAATGAGCCTTGAAGGCGAGTTCTGTGCTGCCGGTGAGTTTGGAGCTCATGGTGCCGCTTCTGTCTTTACCCTTGACGTTGAACTTTTCACCGCTGGGGGTACCGATTACTGCGTCTGGTAGAAAGAGAGACAGCTCCGGCTTGGGATCTACGCGAGAGTCGTCCGAGTCCTTGAACTCGTGAAGCCACTTGGCCGGTGTGACGACGTAGTAGCCCGTCGAGTAGCCCCAGGACAGCTTGTTGCGAGACTTGCGCTCCAGGGAGCCCTCGATCAGGGGCTTGGTCGACGCGTGGTCCATGTTAGGGAACTGGATCGCATCCACGGCACGAGGCGGATCATTCGGGTTGGCCAATCTATCGGAACAACGCTGCGTAAAGTTCTGCCACTCAAAGTTGACGGGGACACACTGAATAGTGCCTAACATGTCGTTATACAGGGCGCGGGTCTTCTCGCCTTGACCTCCAGCAAGTTGGACAAACGCCTCGACGGCCTGCTGGAAGACTTCGATGACGTGTGCCTCAAACGTCTGGAAGTTGTTTTGGACGGCAATCAGGTCGTTGTGGTGGTTGTTCTCGGCAACAACCTGGTTGCTCAACCGGTGCATCACACCTCGGTGGATGACATAAGGATCATCGCCGGCATGGAGCTTGCCACCAGCAGAGTCGTAGGAGGCAGTCTGCTGGCCGAGGAGCTCGATTTGCTTCTGTGTGACATTGCGCAGCTTCTCGACTTCTTTGGCACTGCTCTGAGCACCGCCATGGAGCTCCTTGGCCTTGTGCTTGATTTCCTTGTGAAGACGCTCGAGGATGGGCAAGACAGAGCCCTTGAGACTCTTCTCGGTCTCAATGTTGGTATTGATTTGGGCCTGCGTGTTGGAGCGTATGTTTTCGAAGAATCCTGCGATACCCCCTAGGCTCTGGTCAAAATGATGGCCCTCACGAAGGGGGTTGGAGATGGTCTGCCGATGCGAGTCAGCCGGTACGTTCTCTAAGCATCAGCGCTCACTTGAGGCATGTCGAACCTTCAATGCCTTCTCGTACTCCTTGGCCTGGCGGCCGTGAATCTTCTCGACAGCAGTCACATATTCCTCAAGGTAGCCGCAAGCATGCTTCCATGCCTGCAAACGCTCGGCAAGCAGTCCTGCAGTCTACTACCCGGTTAGTCCATGGCCGATTTCTGCATCAAACGCCAATAACCGGTACAACGGCTTCGCACTCAACAGAGCCCACCTACGGTATTGGGATCAAAGTCGGGGACAGCCTCCTCGGTATGCCCACTCAAGCCCGTAGCAGCGCGCGACGGCAACGTCGTGGAAGCCGGAGAAATGGGAGACGTCATGGCTTCGCAGGTTGGGAGACAACGGTGACAGTTCGAAACGGGCGAGGGAGAACGGAAATCCGATTCAGAGAGCTTCGAGAGGGGGTGGAGTTAAATTAAGCTAGGATACCCAGAAGCGGGACAAGGGTTAGCGGTGAGCAGCGACTCGACGGTGTTTGAGAAGTAAAATGAGGCGCGATGCAAGGTTGTTTGGTTGGCGCCTAAGTGGTGACGGGGGAGAAATGAAATGGACAGCGGTAGGTCCTGCAAGCGCCGTACTCGAGTATGACGATGCAATTGCCGAACTCGTGGGGAGAATGGCGTCTTCATATATGTTGGAAAGGGGGGGTAGAAGGGGGAGGCTAGGGAGCACCAGAATCGAGCCAAGAAACGGACAACGGTCCAGACCTAGGTCACCAGAAACCAGCCGAGGGCTGCCGCAGACCAAGTGTTCAAAAATCAAGAAATAGCTCCAATACCAACATTGAAGGGAGCGGGGGAGCAAATGAGATGCCGCCAGACACGCCATGAGTCCATGACAGAGGGGCAGCCGCCGACAGGACAAGAGTCTCCCGTGCAACAGAAAGCTCACTCACCAATTCGCCGTGGAACCAAGTTGTACAACGAAAAAAAAGAAAAAAAATTACGAAAATGGAAGAGAAATCCCAAAGAAGAACCAAAGCAGATTCCAACAAGTGTCGCGATGTGCCAAATGGTGTTGAACAGCCGGGTCCTCAAACCGTATTTATCAACATCTTGGCTCAAGCAACGGTCAGCAACGGGCCCCTCCCCCTTGAGCATTGCCTAGTAGTACTAGCACGGAGTCCAGCTGTTGTAAATTGTGACGTCAACGGCAGACATCTGCACCGTCTCGGCATCCCAGCGCCCACGGCCCCGCCAGTTTCGTCCCTTGATCTGTAGCGTAGCACACCTGATAACCCCCGCACACAAACCCCCCCGGCGAGTAACAAGACTGCTAACGCCCGCCCCCGTCAGCCCTTCGCTTCCCCCATCATGGCTGTGCAACTTGGCACCCGCATCCAGGGACCAGCTACGGAGTACCCTCTTCTTTTCTTTTTTGGCGTTGCATCTCAGACCCTGCCAACCTGCACAGCTCAGCTGGATCAGGATCCCAAGCGACCAGGTAGATCGTCTCACAAGCTGACGAATGATTAATCGATGGAGCAAGTAGTAGTGCTCTGCACGGAAAACTCCGCCCTTTGACAGAAGCAACACACTTGATGCAGTTGGTCTTGCGTCGTCCGTGTTTCGACCTCATGCGACTGCGTTCCATGCAGCACCAGACAGACCATCAATGGCGTCGTCTGGTCGGCAAGCTCCACCGTCCAAACGTCGCAGATCGGGCCATGGTTATAACAAAAGTACCTACTTACTTGCTTCTCGGCACTTTATAGTTGGGCTGGTGTTTCTTGGCAAGTAACCTTAATTGCACTTTAAACTGCTTTGGTGTACTATACCATTGACTCCATCCATTCCAGCCGATATGGGTCGAGCATATACAACTTGACCCGTCGTCTTCACTTCTACATCAACCAAAACCCGCTCCAAGTCTAAAAAGGCAACATATAGAAACTTGTAGCAGTCCTCAAAAGGGGAGTCTAGCATTCAATCTACTGTAACCAACTCCTGCCCATCATCTCTCGTCATAACACAACTTAACTGAATATGCGCTTCGTAGGGTAGCCCAGGTATCACAATACAAAAACTCTCCTGATAATCCATGGTATTCTCTCTTCTTTGTTCTTCTCTTCTCCCCGCTTCACAAGTATATCCAAGAATCATCTATACCGTGTCCAATAAACCCAATCAACAACGCCAAAGGGGGGAAATGCTGTCGCTTCCCAAGCAACAAAATGCCATGACAGCAAAGATAAAACTGTCACATGCTTCCAACACCATGTATCTTGATAAACCGCTATTGACAATACTTCCAATGCCTCTGCCAGGGGGGCAAGGACTTGGGCCCAATAGAAACAAAGCAAAGATAAATCATAATAATAATAATAATAATAATAACAAACGACGGCTAAAACTTGCAGCCAGCACGCCATGTGACTCGACATGATGGGTCACGAGCTGCCCGAGTTCGCTACAACGCTGGAAAGATTGGATGGTGCACTGGCCAGACCACGGTTTTCACCCGACCGATCCTCGGATATGGTACTCAACGGCTCAGGAGTAATATCTGTGGCCGGAGGAGTGCGAGGCGCATGTAACGCAGTTTGGTAATCCGGAACAAGTCCGGCTGCGGGCTGCGTCCGAGACCACGCCGGTGTCCGGACAGCCGTTGCATAGCTGGGTACACGGTTGAGCTCCGCAAACTCGGCAGGATCCAAGTCAACGTGCTCCGTCGAGTTTCTGCCCGATCGATCCTCCTCGCTATTGCTCCTAGTGAGGTTTTGCGAAGGCGGCTCGGACCGGGGGGCGGACCCATGGTGGCCCGATGTCGGCGACACCCTACCAGAAGGGGAATGTGAATGGACCGACGTATACGATCGATTCCTTTGGGAGGGATTGAGTGAAACGTCGGCCAACCTGGACGATAAGGCCGCCGGCGCTATCGGCGATGGATGGTGAGCCAATGAAGCGAGGTTCTCTGCCGAGCCACTCCTCGACTGTGAATAGAAGGGACTGCTGACGCCCGACTGGACTGCTGGGGTTTGGAAGCCAGAGACATCTACATCCTCATAAAGTTGGTCCAATACATGCTCGCCATACCCCGGTGGTGCTACCAACGCGTTTTCCGTCGAGGGGGCGGAGCTGCCTTGGCTCTGGCTCAGCAGGTTCCCCTGTTCGTCAAAGGGAATGTTGGGTGAGATGAAAATTGATACAGGGAGGGTGGCCCGAAGCTGCAAAGGTTTTACGTTAGCGATCCATCTCACACCACTGCCGACTGACAAAACCCAAGAGGTTCCCGTCCGCACTTGTTCCAAGTCTTAATTTTCATACCTCTGAAATGTGGCCGTCGGGGTTCTTCAGTGCCACAGTCAGCTTAATTTTATGCCTGACCTTGATGCCATGATGGTTCAGATCTTGAATACACTGACGAAGTCGCTTGGGAAGAGGCAATGACTTGACCAAAGCCCAACCCTCCTGACCAGTATCTTGTATCATGTCTTGCCAATGTTCCTCCCTGTTCACTTCGAATCGCCAAGTCGCCACCTCTCGCTCGGTGCGGTGTTCGCGCATGCTGAGACCTGTAGCGCCTTGGATCCAACAGTCGCGAATCTCAATCATTTTTGCCGTAATGTCTCCAAGCTCCAATCCCTTGAGTAGAGGGGTAAATCGCATTTCCATATTAATGGTGCCGCCGAATACGACCGCCTTTTGTGGGATAACGATGGAGTAATCCACCTTGTTGGGCCAGATGTTCTCTACGCTCATAGCATGCAAAAACTCCAAAGCGCCGGGTTCCAGAGTCCTGATGATGCGTAGGTGCTTGTACGCATGCAAGTCGTATGCGAGCTTGCCACGGCCGACAGTCGCCTTTAATCTGTAGGTGATGGAGGCTTCGCGGATGCCCTCTACGCTTTCTGCGGTATCTCCCGGCAGCATAAACTCGAAGGGATATTCGTAGTTGCCAGCGGGAAGAGTCATGCTCTTGCCGTGGGTGCCGACAAAGGGCTGCCATCGATGGTCGAGAATAATGGTGGCCTTGTCAACTTTTTGCCCCGAAACGCCAGGAGCGGTCGATCTATGGTCAGTCCATCTGTGCAGGGAATCCAATGTTAGACTTTTGAATTGCGGCAGGGAAGGTAACAATTTTGCTAGCATCAAGAAAGAAGCATACGATAAGCGCAAGGTGCCCACGAGGCGCAAGTGAATGTCCTCGATGCGCAAGGGGGACGAGAGGCAGAGAACTACGACCCCCTTGAGGAGCTGACCTGAAGATTCATGGTCATTTCCTCGAAAGACAATGAAGTCTTGGTCCAGCCTGTGATTGGAATCGTGTTAGCATGCTAGAGATAGATTATCTATTGTCCGGGATGGCTTGAAAAAAAAAAAAGGCTGATTGCCAGCCAGGGTTTGTTTGGAGGGGTGACTAAAGTGCCACATGGACGAGTTGTGTAACAAGAGTACTAGCACGAGCACGCACGAGATGCAGACTCTCTCATGGCCTCGGCATCACAAGAAGCAGACTCACCGGATATCAAACAGGCTGTAACTGTTTCGCCCCGTCACGGATGCAAACGGCTTGAACGACGGCATGGTCTGGGTGCCGATGCACTATGCAAGCAGGCGAGTGGCGGCGCAACTGGCGCTTGCAATAGACGAGGGATGGATGCCTTTTGCCAGGCGAAGTAGAAACAAGACAAGACGGGAGACGCAGCCGACCAAGTCGCAGGGAGGAGCAGTACCGCAGTAGTATTTCTTTGGAAAAGACAGAAATGAGGCGGCAGACGAGGAATTGAAATGCAGAGAGAGAGAGAGGAGAGCGAAGAGCGAAGCCCGCAAGAGCAGAAGGCAAGGCGACGAGGTCGGCGGGCGGCCGATTTGGTGGAGCCGGTTGTATTATTTCAGGAAGTCGACTTTTTGAGGCCAACCACATGCGAACTGAGCTGGGACCGTCGTATCGTCTGGTCTAGTCGAGTCGGTCGGCTGTCCGTGTCTGGCAGCAACAACAGTGGTAGTAGCACTGGCAGTGGTACCGCTGGCACCGCGCTGCCCGCTTCGCTTCCGGGTCAACCAGAGCTGGCGTCTCTGGGATTCCCCCTGTGGTTATGATCTGTCGATGCCGCGCCGAATGGGCAATCTGGTCTGCTCGTCTGCTCCCACTCTCTGCTGTTGCTGCTGCTGCTGCTGCTGCCACAGTCGTCGACTCACGAACCCTGCTGAATCGGGTCAACGGGCCTCTCCACTCTGGACCCAGATTTGCCAGTGTCACACTCTGCTGTCGCCAGGCCCTGCGTACTCCGTGCTCCGTTGTACATAAAGTACGCCAAACACGCCCGGTATACCCAGGTTCCTAGGCACCATGTGCCTGTGAGCACATGTACCCA